GTTTTATGAAAGAGGAATATACTTAGCAGCGTCTGTGAACTATAAATTAAAGCCAAAAACAAACTACATCAACTAGCAATACAAACTAAAAAGTGTTTTTTCTCAAGTCAACTTTCATTTTCTTTAATTACGATTACTTAGATATAATACGTACAATAAATACGTACATAAAATGGTAACAATAGAGTTCCCTATAGCCGCAGGTTATCGGCTTACCGTATATATTTTGAATAACTTGATTAAAATGGTAATTACAAAGCAAATATTGTTAGGTTAGCGTTTGTTGTCAAAGGCTTGCAAATCGGTTGATTTTCGCTGAAGCTTGAAGTTTCCGTATTGTAGCGATTTTGTTTTCGTAATTAAGTTATTAAAGGTCGATTAAGAGTAAAACAAACATATCTGCCACGAGTCGAACAATTTCAGGTTTAGAAATTATTTCATTTATTATTTATTTCATAATGTTATTCCAAAGTGGAACTGTAAAAATACTCTAACATTTTAATATGATTCGCTGCAGTGATTCTTGACTTCATACGCACCTGTCAGTAGGAATGATTATAAAAAATATAACCTAATCTAATTAATAATAACATGAAAGATGTATCTTTCATAGATAAGTATGAAAACGTCAAATTAATACTGTGATGTCTTGAATTTTCATTGCACTTTCGTTCCTATATATCAAAAATGTAGGTACATGCCACGACAAACTTATTATATAATAAGTATAAAGTTTATAAACCGTTATATATACGTATAAATATACTATAATGTTATATTTATTTACAAATAAAACATTTTATTCGCTCTGCAATGCTTACTGCCTACTTTGTTATTATCAAACTAATATTGTCCCATTAACGGTTAACCGGTTTGACTATGAGATCAGATGATTCATTATATTTACTCTGTGTTAATTGGAAAATAATGCTTTACGTACATACAAAACAAGGATGACGTATCAAGGCATTATGTCTTCAAAACGTTGGAATGGCGCTCAAACAACTGTTACTTGGATAATATTATTTGTACCTTATTGTTCTTGCTTAACGATACAAATTATAATTCCTCTGGCGTCGCCATTTTTTTAATTTAACGTCAATTAGTTAGCTTCTAGCTGGGACTACAAGTTATTCTTTTAGTAAAGTGAATTTACTTTAATACCTTAGATGTATCTTTTTCTTTTCAGACATTTATTGTCCCATTTTCGTCCATCTCTATCTATCTATGTGTATGTATGGGTCTAAAAGCATTTAACTGGGTATACATTTTGGTTATCCAAAGTTATTTGTCACACAAGATGTAAATAAATCAAGCAACCCTATGATATTGACAAAATTCGTGTGGGTTCATCGTTCACGGTCCTCGAAAAGGCCACGACAACTTATTTGAAGACCCTTTAGGTATATTGATTTTATCGCCCATACTAATATTTACATAGGTACCTATTTTCATGAATATAATGGGGTTAAATTGTTAAAATTTTACACTTCATTATTCAATGTTTGATGTCCCTTTTGCTAAACCTAAAGGAAAAATAGACACGTAGTCGTTTACATACAAATATGTTTATGCTAATGTAAACATGTTTAGTTTTGTGAGCTGGGCGGACTGTGCTAACTGTGTAGTAAAGCTTTTGTATTGTCATTTGCATTTTTGATGATCTTATTATCTTCATAAATATGGCATACATTTTTGTCATAGGTGTGCAAGCGGTCTATTATGGGTATACCTACGGGTTTCAATAATAAGTTTATGTAAGTCTCGTACAAGGTTGAAGGTACACCTACAAAGCTTCCTGTATAATAAAATCTCGTGTGATAAAAGGCTTTTTACGGCTCCGAAGGGTGTTTATAAAAGCTCCCGCATGTAATTTTTCGTCCGAAATGCCGTGTAAGTATTAAAACGTGGAAACGCCTAGAGGTTTATATCAAACACATCCGTGGGCAAAGGATAGACAGAATTTACTAGACATTTCAATCTTGTTTAATCTGTAGTATGTGGTTTTAATCTAGTAGGTAACAAAGAAATATAATAGGTATCTTCATACATACCCACTTCAGCGTGCTTAAAGAGACAGGTTGTACATATCTATCCCTGTACATCTGCCTTCTTACGTACCTATTTGGAGATAGATCACAAGTTCAGAACTTGACCCAATTTCTCTTATGGAATGGGGATCTACTCTATGTACCAATTTACATTCAACGTTCGCGTTTCATTCAACCGCCTGGCAGTATATTAAATAGGTTATGAGAGATTTTAATATAGTTAAATTAATGTTTCGTGCAGCGTTCCAAATTAATAATTTACTGAAATTCGTAATCAAATTTTAATCATGTTTATGCTTCTGCTTTCCTCAATTTATTTTGGGAGTAATTGACATTGTCCTCTGATAAAATTATTAAATTTGAAATAGAACAGCGGATGGTACTTTCTAATGCATGGAAATGTAATTAATATAGAAATATTACCTGGATATATTTTTTTATAATGTAATGTAATGTCTCTAGATAAGGAGACTGTAATATGCATATATTTAAGGTTTCAACCGTAAATAATCTTGTTTTTGCATATTTTATATCTTTATGTTGCTAAAAGCTTCAGTATAGTGGATACGTGTACCTAAAATAATGCTCCATTTATATTGCTGGAGACAACTTTTTGTGTAAATTCTTCACGAATATTGGACCTTATTGGACGTTTGCGAAGCAGGACGGAAATTTTATTCTTTTTTAATGCTAATTTTAAGGGAACAATCTATGTGCTGATTGATTCTATTGGTGTTCGTTTTCAGGCTTTCTGTGATTGGCAACTTAAATGGGAAACACTGTAATATCATAGAAAAGTTTACTATGTGACTTTAATAAGCATTTCCTCAATATTTGCCTAAATTTATGCCTATAACATTAGGAAAATTATCAGTTTGTACCACCTTCGTTAAAATAACAATTGCATAAGATACGCTTACAGTATTGCATTGTGACAAGCTCTCTAACTCGTTTGTCAGTATAGTCAACAAACGTGTGATACAGAATTCGTCCTTGTTGCGTAGAGTAACCAGGGCGTGTGCTCACAAACAAACATATGATGTAGGTGCACTGTCAAAAAGTAAAAGTCCACATATGGTGGCCAGCTCTCGTACATGTTATCAGGCATTCGCTTTATCTAGGTGTAATTTACACGATTACGGTTCCAAAGACATGTTATCATATTTATCATATCTTAGTGAGTCAGTCGATAGTGAGCGTTCAACCAGAACTTAAGTGACTAAGGTGTTGAATTATTGGAAAATCATTAGTTTGTGATTACTTTTTGTGGTCGTTAGACGTTATTTGTTAAACAAAAATGGATAAGAATACTAAAAAGGATATGAAAAACCTCATCAAGATGTTTGAGGCGCGTCAAAAAGCGGAAGAGGAACACAACGCGGATATTAGGGATCTAGCAGAAATGACACAGGAGGCCTTCAACACTGTTATGGGTATTTTATGCTTTCTATTATATACTATTGTACTTAATGGCGTTAACTGTAACCATATAAACAATTTATATAACTTTTTACTTATTTATCTGTGTTAAAGAGATTTCTAGTGAATTCTACGTTCTCCATTTTAGTCATTGCTTACTCTATTAAGATACTGGTACGATAAGATGCTATTTCTACTTCAGAAATGATTAAAGGATTTGATTTTTGTTGAAGTACAGAGGAAAGTAAATGTCGCAAACAGTGATTGGTTTCGTTTTGTTTAGCTACCTACAAAATGTTAAAATATTTTTAAACTGGTCCTAAGAGCTCTCAATATTGAAGATACTGCGGCTCATTTGTTTGACTTTGATTCGCTTGTGTATTCAAACAAATTATTTCCAGCGATAAATTTTCTTTATTATTCCATTACATTTCCATTTGCATAGTCCCACTTGAAACTTCTCGAAAGTTGTTCAAAGGTGATTCAGACTCGTGAAGCTACTTAACACAATTCGGTTATGAATATTATAGGCATTCTTAAATGAAATAAACATTTGTAAACCGTCTCCAATTATCATTTATTGTTTATTAAAATCACTAAAAGTGATCACTGTAGGTATAATAGTAAGTAATCAATTAGCAAAGTGTCATTGAATATCCTAAATGAATAGTTCGCGGGTGGAGTATATTTCCCATTAGGAAGGCCCATTTCTCTAGGTTTATGATGTGCTTGTTTGTCGAGGTCGACTGAGTGCTTTGTATTCAGAGGGGTTCGGTCCCAAACAACAAAACAATAGCTATAAAACTTCGTATCGAGGTAAACAATAGTAATGGAAAAGAAAAACCAAAGTATGAACTACACAGATTCTATCTCTCCATAATAAAGTAAAACAAGTTGTCCTCATCTGGCTTCCCATTGCGGTGTGTGTGGAGTCGCGTGTGGCTCTTGGTGAAGCCATTGTTTCGCACAATTAATTTCCACCCTAGCGAAACATATCTGCATTTTATGTAACACTGGATGCAATTGCGGTTATGTGGTTTTAGCTGTGTGTTGATACGCAAAATTACGCAGTGTGTGTTTGTGCTGCAGATATCAAAATATCTTGTAGGTCATTCTTTACTCATAAGAATGAAGAAGTACAATTTTAGATATAATGTTGAGAACTAAATAGTCTCTAACATTTATGAGATGGGTTCATCTATTTCTGTTATAAACCGCTAACAACCAGACGAACATATTCTCATCGAAAAATATTTTTATTTCTCAACTGAACCACATAAATACAAGATATTTATAGATATCCATGATCATTCATGTGTTTCATGTTAAAAGTAGCATGAGGTATTTTTAGTGATGCGTATTGTTACATAATAAAATAACACAATACTTGAACGACAAACGCGTATCTCCACCATAGTACTGAACATTTTACTTAAATAACAATTACCTACCTGGTATTCGCCATGGATTTATAAATTATGAAAAGTTGCAATATTTTAGTAATTTACCTTAATGTTGTTTTGTCACCAGGCAGCGAAGCCGACGCTGCAGCAGCGACCCGGAGCCCAGCATCGGACCTCGAGTGCTTGATAGAGCGCTTGGAGCGTGTCACATCGCGTCTGGAGCGCTTGCCGCTGTTACGCGCGCGCACTCCAACGCCGCCAGCGTCTCCTGCTCCCTCGCCAGTCTCTGAGCCCTCGCTCCCACATCAAGCACTGTGCTTTGAACCAACCGACAACATGAGCGTTAACGGTTATCAAGATATAGTGCAGGTAACTTTATAAACTTTTTAATTTGTAGAGACGGAATAAATACTTAGACACAAAATACTACCATCCAGCTCACAATGGTCGTTCTAATGTCCTAATCGATTAATGGCCGCCATTATTTAAAGTACCTATCCCATAGTATACATATAAATATAATTACTTCAATTAGGTACCTACAAGTCTGTGATTGCGATTAGCTCCTGAGTTTTTGAGAAATGTATTATAATACCAATTAAAATTTAATCACATCAACGTGGCTCCTGCAATTTTTATGTCAGCCTTTTTATTAGTGTTCATAAAACGACATAGCAAACATATAAAAACCTATATAAAAGATAAAACGCCCGCAGTAGGTAACATTAAATTCATCATGGCGTTGAATCTCGTACTGTGCAGTGACCGTGCATTTAAATTCCTAATTCAGACTTAATGATTTCATCCGTGTTAGGTTCACCGAGCAAAAACTGCTTAGCGATAGACTCATTACGAAGAAAACAGTTAAGTACGGTATAAGCATGGTATGGAGAGGAGACTGTGGAGTAAGTTAATCCATACATGGTTATATCAGTACGTTGAACTGTAGGACAAACCCGTTTCCAACAAGCTGTTGGTTTTTTGCCAAACCATTAGGAACTAAAGAGTGAAAAAGTAAATAAATGATAAAAATCAATTGATTTATAAGTACCTAACGGTCTCAGGTAGTCTATTTTATCTCGTGGACAAGGGGTAAAGGTTGTGTGCCAAAATATAATGTTGATAAATTGCCTTATATGGCCGTATATAAAGCTTATAAATGCTTTTAAACTGTGTGACCTTTAGTGACAGAAGACGTTTATCTTAATAGGTCGTGAACTTATTCTCAGCGCAGTGGTTCCGGGGAAAAGGATTATACGTACAACGGAAGATGAGACAAAGAGGGTTTAAGAAAATTAGCTTAGTTGTGAAGGCATATATAAATAAAAAGTCTTTGTGAGAGATGCCTAGGGTCGGGTTTTGTATCAATTAATAACGGTCGGGTGGCATTACGTTGTTCTCAAAGGCTCGGTCCCGGAAAATATGTTACCGCACAATTTCTCCCTTCTTACGTCGACTGACCTTCCGGCAAACTCTTTATTTACTCTAGATGCTGTTTACACCAAGTCACCCAAGTCATCGGAGTGTTTGTCGACCACTCAGCCCCGATTGTTTTAGCAGGCTTTAATTGAATTTGAAATGTAACGGACGTTGTGTTTTTATTTTTTGTAAAAAATGGTTTCCAAATATTGTGTCGTTCGGATGTACAAAAAGTGTGTGAACCTAGACGATAATCTGTGACCATAATAACTTTGAAAGAAATGAGAATAAAGCTCTGTATAAATTAGGTCAGGAAAGATACATTATCTTGTTTGTTTTTCTGAGCATAAGGACGTACTTAGGCTACGACGAAAAACACCGTTTTATAGTGGGAACTTATTTAGTGTACCTATTTATTTGTCTCGTTGAGCACATTACTTAGAAACACAGAACTAAAGGCCTGTCTAACTAAGCAAACAGTTAAGGAATGGAATCTATCTAGATTAAAGGCTTCTAGTCTGAATTAGGTATAGAATAAAGTCTCGAAATGAAAAAAGTACAAATAAATTGGTACTCCAATTTATTGTCCTACACTATTTGATCAAACCAATATGTGGAGTGTCCATATTATTAACTCGTAGTTCAGCAAAAAAAAAACAGAAATACATTTTCATAACAAAAGTCGGGAGCTCGTTTATTGGTTATATAATAAAGACGAAATGTTCAAAGAAAGTTGATAGAATACTTTCTTTTGATATACTATGTATTATCTTTGAAAACCGGCGTAATGGTTTAATAATAGAAAATATTTTCTGTTATATCTTTGTTTTGGGGTAATGGGCTCTGAAAATGTTCTGAAATTATCCTTCTATATTTCTACACTATGAATAGAACAATGAGCTTATAATCCACTCAACAAAATTTAGGTTATCAATATTAAATTGAGGTAATTGAAGGCAAACCAGTTACGAGACGTGGCGTTGTGTTACCCCAGGGATAAAAGTTATAGCGATACTGGCTAATTGCTACCGAACTTGTACTGTACATAGTATACATGTTTGCAATTTTTATGAGGAAAGTCTAGACTTAGAGTTTATTAAGTAATAAACTTTGTGAGGGCTTATTAGGTCAATATTTAGGTACTCATTGACGACATAAAACCTGAAGAGATACTTCACACATTGACATTTGTTCGCGTGCGATTATTGAATAACTAGAACTGTAGATAATATTTAGAGGAATGAACAACCGTTTTTTGACTTAAGTTGTAAAGAGGTGAAATTTGTAGTTTTGTATAATTAACAAAGTATTTTGTTTGTCAGGGTCCCCTGCAAGTCTACTTGCAGCTGTCGCAGCAGATCGGTGGCGATGTGTCCGCACACGCCAACCTGGTCAACGCCGCCTTCCAGTAAGTAATAACAAATTCCACGTAAACTACATTGTCTAGCCATCAACTTTGTTTCACTATAACTCCAGTCTAGAACTAGGCAGACTGGCGGGCGCCGGTATTTTACATAAAACGTTATTTTAGACTGCTGGTTTTTGCGTAGGTAGCCATTGCAGAGTAGCTTAGAATGATTACTGAAATAAAAATGGTATTTGCGAGCTTCATGATTATCAAACGTTATATTTAAACAGCTCTGCAAAGTTAAATCATGTTTTACTAATTCGTATTCGACAAGCTCGGTAATCATACTTTGTTTATCTGTGGTTATATAATTAGGGTGTGGAACTTATTTGCCGCCTCCGTCCGTGACAGGCAAGGAGCGATTCTAATACAGTAATTAATTTCCCTATCAGAACTTGTTTGTGTTACTAAATTGAAACGATCCGGCAGATTCGCATTATTAAATTAATGAGATTCATTGAACCAGAGTCATCGCTATCAAAGTAACACGATAGTTACAAATTAGCTTCTAAATAGGAATCTAATAATATTGTTTGTCATGTTCTACATTCTGTTTAATTGATATCATAGTTTATTGATATTTACCTTTAATGCTATTACTGATTACTTGATCTTATTATTTATCGTAACTTTAATAATATAGTGGCCTATAATATAGTTAAAGTTATCTTGGTACTTAGAATCTGAAGTGTTTCAAGTTGTTTGTTTCATATTACAACTACGGTCTTTGAAGACAATTCAATATGTTTGATCTAATACTAGTAGTACACCACCACTAATAGCACTATTGTACACCAGGGCGCAACTTCGCTACATTCAACTGGCTACAACAAGGAGCAAGCCTTCCCAGGCTGAGGAGATGCAACTCCTGGCTCCGACCAGCGAGCAGATCTCTGCTATACAGCAGTTCCGCGAGAAGAACCGCGCTTCGACGTACTTCAATCACTTGTCGGCTATATCCGAGAGCATTCCTGCTCTAGGATGGGTGGCTGTGGCGCCCACCCCGGCACCTTATGTAAAGGAAATGAACGACGCCGGTCAGTTCTACACGAACCGAGTGTTGAAGGAATGGAAGGAGAAAAACAAGACGCACGTGGAGTGGTGCCGCGCCTGGGTGCAGCTACTATCCGACCTTCAGGCCTACGTCAAGCAGTACCACACCACCGGACTCGTCTGGTCTGGTGAGTACTTCGTAATGTAATATTCCTTTTACACCGACTTCAAAAAAAGGAGGAGGTACTACGTTCGGTTATTCTCAGCTATTTTAGTATTCATTGGATTTGGAATAGGCTCTTAGACCACATTAATAAATTACTATGCAAAAGGAAATACTCGTTGTCACCACGATGAGTAAGTTGTACGTGATCGGCATGGTATAATTTCATCAGTCATATAATTAATGAGACGAATATTCCATGAGAAATACTGGTCATTTTCCTATCTGTTTTGTTCCCTCTGTGGGATACGCCGAGTTCTTGGTAAGAGATTAACTAATTCATCAAAATCTGTGGTTTAGTAGCATTTATTAAAACCTTCATAGATTTATAACTAAAAAGTAATCCCTACGCATCATATCATAATATCGGATAGACCTTTACCCTTTCGTAAATAGTTCCTTTCTTCAGTTAGTGGCTTTAGGGGTTAAGGAACTTAAACTGAGTCCAAACTAATATCTAATTTGCATACCTCTCCAATCATAGAACTTGTAAAACAATTTATGTGAACCCGTTAACATAATTAATACCATAATCCGTCCCGTCCTATTTAAGTCTTTACTTGGTGACATTATTTTACAATTATAAAGTTATTATTCCAAGTGGTACATAAATAAAACCCTCATTAAGCCGGTGTTGTTCTCTGGTTCAACTTGACACGAGTGTGGCTCCACTCTTGAATTATTTAATACGCGGTTGAGCTCTCCAATGTCACCGCACATTTATGCGCGGGTTATGAAATGCGCTCGACCGTAATGTGGAACACCTGAACACTGGTTCATCACTAAAACAAAAGGGTTTCCACGAATCTAGATGTCTTTAAATGTTTCTTCTCTACTCTACAATTTTGTTCTGTGTCGTTGCGTTCAAATAAGTTTAAAAACAGTGTAAGTGATATTATGTAGTAACAAGTTGACTCCTGATATTTACCGAAAGAATGGGTTTAGTGCGTACATTCTGAATACGCCTACGTGCTTCAAAGCTTATTACCTGAGTCCTATTTATTTATAATATGTAAAGTCAACAATTTTAACACGTGCCGTAATTTATATTTTAATTTTTTGTCTACTTTAATATCAAGCCCTTGTTTGTACAGGCCCAGATTATATTTGTTTTATTTTTACAGATTACAGTTTCATAAATATTTTTTCATGAATTTCAAATATACAGGAAAATTTTGAAATATAGGCGTTGTTCGTTATCCTGGTTATCTAACTGCTATTCAAAAGGTTTTGTATTTTATCTGAAAACATTTATAACAAGCTTAAATGCTTCGATTTTGATCCAAACCCGTTTAGGTACGAAAAATCCAACGATCCCTATAATACACGGCCCTTTATACATTAGCTTCGAAAATAGATTGGTATCTTGTCTAATGTACTTACCTGTATGAAAGAGAATATTTATGTAAAATGGAAAATATCTAGTCAATTTAATCTGCCAGCAACTTTGCCCGCGATCCTGTGGGATAAAAGGTAGCCTATGTGTTATCCCAGACCATAATCTACCCATGTTCCAAATTTCATGCGGATCCCTTCAGCCGTTTTTACATGAATGAGTAACAAACACACACACATACATGCTCACAAACTTTCGCATTTATAATATTGGTAGGACTATCAAGATATTTCTCTAGCAAGCTCTCAAATATTATTATATCTCTTCTCTTTGCTGTTCTATAATTGTGCCTATTGCCTAAATATGATAAAATAGATATTTATTTTTACGATTGTCACAATCTGAATCCAAGATGTTTTGAACATACTTAAACAACCAAACAATTATTTTTGTAAATAATGGCTAAGATGATGTAATATAGATACATACACCTCTTACTGCAGCCCGATAAATTAGCAAACAATAGGACTCAAAAACTTGCTTGTTCATTAAAAAGCCAACCTTTGTTCTAGCCCTTCACCTTTATGATCTGTCTCTAGATAAAATCGTCTTCGCGTTTGGTGGCGACTCTGCTCAAGTCTCGCTTATTCCCTGAACGAAAATGTTCTTGTAGATAAGCGTGGTATTTGAATTCAAGATAAATTCTCTGGAACCTCACTCAAAAGCCTTGCTTTCGCACAATTTGGTGCGACATTTTAATCCACCCTTTCATCTCTCCTTAACACTCGGCACAGCTTCAGCAGAGTTATCCGAACGTAAGACTGAATTAAATTTAATAAACCTTTGACAAAATACGTGATCTCGGTACGTGGAAATATGCGTTGTGGTTACGTCAGCCAAATATTGGTGTATTAAAGAGTTTTTGATGATTTGCATAGCATTTAGTTTTTTGATTTTTTGAGTTATGTTCTTAACTTCTGTGGAAGGTTGTTAACCGGAACCGTCGGATTTTCGTTATAAATTAGATCAACATTTGGAATTTAAGACCTTTCCTGTACCTACTAAAAATGTGATCATATATAAATACTGGCACAGAATAATTACTTGGTAGGATCAAAGTGTTATTAACGGTAAAATCCAGAATAGGTAGATAACGTCAATATTTTTGCCAGCTCCGGTTACCAATGGAAACGAATTTCAATATTACATTACATTGAATATGTACGGATTGAATTCTATCACGTGAAAACCAATAAAGATATATCGATATCTAGGCGAACTGAGTGTTTTTGTTATGTTGTAGGTAGAGATATGAGCTACTCTTGGCTCTATAACCGTCTGAGGTTATGATCGACTAAGTTCTTTCAAATACAATTTTAACATCATTTTCTGATCAGATCAGATTTACTCAATAATTGTTTTGTTTGTCTAGGTACCGGCGCCGGAGCTCCCCCACCGCCGCCCCCCGGCGGCATGCCCCCACCACCTCCAGTGCTCCCAGACGTGGACTTCTCCAACTTGTCCGTGGACGACCGCAGCGCCCTCTTCGCTGAGATCAACCAGGGCGAGAACATCACTAGCAGTACGTGTTTGTGCTTTATAACACGTACCATACTACAGTGTAATATAAAATGATATAATGTGGTGTCTAAATGTTTGTCATGAAATCAAATGTTTCATTGGATGACTGAGATGCCTCTACATAACAGATGCGGTGGTTACATTATCAAGCTCGATTTCCGCTACTGTTACATTTGCAGTCAATTGAGTTTATTTTTAAATAGCGGTCGGATCATGTGTTTGTACCGAATGCCTATTAATAATTGTTTTGGCGATTTCGAAGGTAAATAAGTGTTTGTTGTCGTAGGTCTGCGTAAGGTGACCCCGGACATGCAGACGCACAAGAACCCGCAGCTCCGTCAAGGCCCCGCCCCGTTCAAGGCGGCCCCGGCGGCCCGCGCCCCGCCTGGCAAGCAGCTGCCGCAGCCCGGCGCCGGCACGCTAGACAAGCCGCCTGTCTTCACTCGCGACGGCAAGAAGTGGCTCATTGTACGTATATCGACATTAATTCACTAACAGCAGTGCCTATCTTTCATCCTCTACTCTAATTGTACACGGACGCATTTCATCCGTACCTAGGTACGAAGATCGCATTTCCATCAAATGAGTAAACATCATTGCGTGTGTGTATTGTGTTATTTGAATGGAATTAATGTACTCGTATAGACATTCAAAATAACGTGAGTCAAACCAAGTTATGATTCATCCTACTGATATGGATGATCTAACTTGTAGTACTATTCATTTTGGACTTGACAAAACAACCAAAAAAGGGCAAGTGACGCACCGTTTGCTCATAGTAAACACTATTGCTATAATATATTCATTAACAGGTCGTCATAGATATTGGCAAATGAAAAAGAAAGCTATAACCTTTATGCCAACTTTTGCCCAGATATAATCAAAATTTTGCTTTTCAAAATATAAAGAGAACATATAATTTTGGTATGATAGGAATATCAAAAAGGCAACCCCAACCTGGTGGTTGAGAACGCGGACATGAACAACGTGGTGTACATGTTCCGCTGCCGCGACTCTGCGCTGACGGTGCGCGGCAAGGTCAACGGCGTCGTGCTCGACTCCTGCACCAAGTGCGCCGTCGTCTTCGACAACCTCGTCTCCAGCATCGAGTTCGTCAACTGCCAGTCTGTGCAGATGCAGGTCAGTCTTAGATTTATATCTTTGTCTCTTACGTATTATTATTACAATAATAATTATATTATGTGAAGTATATTATGCCCATTTTGGCAGGGTTGAAATTAATCCAAATCCTTGACGGTGTTATAAATTGTACCATTTTTGTAAGCCTCGTGTCCACTAGGAAACATTTAGCATACGACATGCTGTCACTAATGTTCCAGAACAAAATGGGAAATTTCACCGGAAGAATAATGAGTGATAGTATCCGTGTGCGCACTGCCAGTAGAAAGTAAATTCTTCAATGAAACTTAAATAGGAACGTAGAAAGATCAAATATTTGATCTTTCTACGTTCGTACTAGATTTGCTAATTTCAATTTCTTACCGATATCCCAGTGGGAAATACTTTTCGTATTTTCTCCCCTCTGTATAATTGTCTTTTATAGAAATATCAATATAAATTCTTTGCAGTTATTTAGTCGTTAACACTCCAGCTGTAGAATATAAAAAGGTCAAAATTTTCAAGGTTTTTTGGTCAAGATTTCACTGTACTGTACGTACAATGAAATCGAAACAAACCAAATTCCATTTGCCGTAATTAAATCTCTAACTCTGTATAAATATTGAATCTATCGGCCATACCGAGCAACAGAAATCCACATAAACATCGCTATCTCTTAAAATCTAATTCATTTCAGAAAGTATTTACTTGATTCCATTTCTAAGAACTTCCAGCAACAATAACTCTACAATACAAATAATAATTTGTGGGATTATGGTGCTTGTCCACCAGAGACGTGCTATGCTACGTTACTGTGGATGCATTTGGCATTCACCAATCATAATATTTATTGGTACACATAGCTTAGCATTAGTGGGAACAAATTCAACTGAGATGTTTATTTTATATGGAAGAATGCTATGGATGTGTGGTTTGGATGCGTGCTATGGATACGTGCCGCCCTCACCGCTTCCCTACTATCGATACATCGCATAGCTCGAGCTGCGCATCTTCCTCACACTTTGTGGCGACACATCTTCACAGCACATCTTACTTGTACCGCTACATAGGTTAACATCAGTGGAAAGAAACAGTCACGTAGTTTCACAGCTTAGCTATTACATCCTCGCAGCTTAGCTACGTAGCACATCTCTAGTGGAAAAGCACCCTAAGCTTCGATTTAAGTTTTCTCTGGCGAAATGTTACTACATAACAACTTTTCACTTAGAATTCATTAGCATGGAATGTCTTTGAATCTTCGTTTCGCTGTAGAAATTTCTAGATAATAGTAGCAAAACAATATTATTCCTAGAAATGTTAGTTTTCCAATGGCGATTTTTCCAATCTATCAAATAATCTCGGAGTATACTGTCAAATATGTCCGCTTTATAAAATCAGTATAGACATAGATGTTACTCAAGTGACAGAGCTTAACTAAACAACAGACTACCTAAGAACTGAGAACCAGGATTGCACCCAGCGGAGGACGGCGACAATTTGTCATTAACTTTATCCTAAGATTTTCCGACGCGGCAATCACATCATTTATCAACGTTGTCTCAACTAAATAAATATATTCTCTCCCCTCTAGAAAATAGGAGAAAGCAACTGATATAATCGAGCCTCATAAATACATATGTTGATATTTTTTTTAATATAAATCGACACATTTCTCTTTCTTGTTAACTAACCCAACTGTGATTTTTTTATGTGTCTCCTAGAACAATTACAGTACTATATGAATAATTACTATTGTTCTATAGTACTTCTTCGGTTTCCCTTGAGACAAGCTTACCTTGGAAGCGAAAACTAGACCGATGTTTTTGCGCTCATTTTTCATTTTAAAAGTGACAGTGACATCTATTACTTAAATTGAGGTTCCTATGCTATTACAAAAGAACAATCTTGGAGATTGCACGTAATGAATATTTTATTAAAGCAGGAACAATAGCAATCCTTATCGGCTTAGATGTTTTTTAAGGATCCCTTCAACCGTCCCGTAACAATGTATTGCTCTGCGTACATACATTGCAACATTAAACGTTGGTTTAATTTGTAGTTCTGCTGTAACTTGCAACACTGGATTAGCGTTTGTAGAGAGGATGAGAAAGTTGTAAAGTTGTTTGCGAGTAACTTATCACAGGATTAAATAGTGACTAGGTAATAAAATATATAATATCGTCTGTAATAACCGAAGAATAAATATTGTTTATCAGCAGTTTACAGCTATGAACTACTTTTTTTTTTGAGGGGGGAAAACCATCCAATGACTTTTCCCCGCCCGGGTGAGGCGGGAGGGAGTGTCAGACTCTTACTGACTAAAAACCACCCCGTTCCTACTCCTGCACTTCGAGCCGGAGCCCCGCCAACCCGTTAAGTCTTACGCGACTCCGTGTCGGCATCAGCCCTGTTAGGCCCCCATCTGTGGTGGTCTGATGGCTCCTTGAGGCGCGCGCGGAACGCGACGCGCCGTACGCTCGGGGCTGGTTCTGGTCGGGCGGCGAGTCACCCGTGCTCGCCGTCCGTAGCTACTATGAGATTTATGTCAAATTATTTTAAGATTCACATGTATAGAAGACCATTGAAACTTAACATGTATGTTGATCGTTATATCAGTTACAACCTAAGTAAAGAATGACTTGTCTTTGAGTTCCTACGCGACTGCTAGTAATTATGATAAGATAAAACGAAAATAACAATTTCACCAAAACATTATATTCAATAAATATAGATACAAAAGTGTTAGATTACAGTACGACCAGGTCGCGGCACTCATAATCGTCGCCGCACTCACTCTTTATCTCTTCGATGGCTATCTGACTGTTGGTCTCCTCGATGATCGACATCATGTTCGGCATCTTCCCGCGCTCGCACGCGAACATTGGCTTTACGTCGCCAAAGTCTTGCTGGGTGTCATAGTAATCTCTGTTCGCGTCAGCAACATCCTGCAAACAAAAACCCACATTCATTACCAACGTGATCGGTATAAAACATGCGAAAGATAAATTTCAGTGATATTCATAATGTCGTACAAGCCTTATCGAACATATTCCTTAAACTATTCATATTCATTTTTGCAATTTGTGAGGATTACACGAGTTCGTCGTAATCGAGTATTTCGATATTCTACTCGTACTTTACCCTCTTTACATTAGTATGTAAAGTAAAGGTACACTAACCTCATAGTTATATGCATATGGCTTGTAAGGATTTTCGGCCCAGCTTAAACTATATTCGTCGTAACGCACGTCTGTACAACTATTCCTGAAATCGCTATCCGAGTCGGATGCTTCGCGAGGCTTGGAGTAATCCCCCATGGCTTCCTGCGACGCCACGTCGATTGGATGTGGGTCCAAGTTCAGTATAGTCAGCTTACTGTTAATTACCATGTTAAGGGTCTTCTGCCAATCTTCTAATAATTTCTTAATACTCTCCATCTGAAAAATAATAGTTTCGGTTTACATTTTGTTTGGATCAGATTATGTTATGTATATTTAATTATTGAGATCGTTAAATGGTTCCTACTTTCTTCTTCAACATCGCTTGCTTGGTGGCTCTCCGCAATCTTTTCTGTTTGATGTAATGCTTAAGATAAGCAACCTTATACACGTTGGTAACTTTTAAAATTTTCACTCGACAATCTTGTCTGACGTCGGCGTCGCTGAGTGAGGAGTACACGCTGTTTTCCGGCGTTGTGGGGTCCGTGGGCGCACGCTCTCCACATTCCATCTTCTCTGGCTGCCTCTCGGGATTCGCCATGTGGTCGTACTTCAACTCCTTTAATAATTCCACTATGAATTCTCGGTCTGAAAGAATAAAAATATACGACTTTAACAATATGTATTATACTTGAAAGCAATATATATATATATTTCATCAAACTGTATGTATTATAAATGTGAGAAGAATCACCTTCCTCCTGAGGTGCGCAGTGCATGTGCAAGTCTTTGTTAGCGTCCCAGACGGCAGCGTTGTCAATAGCGTGGCGCACCGTGTCGTCGGCCGCGATTACCTCGCGTACTCGCGCCCGCACGCGCCGCAGTCTCTCCGCGCCGCGCCGCAACTGCTCAGCTCGCTCCGCAAACTCCGCGTCCCGTACACATAGCTTCGTATTCACTATCTGAATCTAACAAGACGAAAAGTTGCACCGCAATCGTATTTATACAACAGAGAAACATTTTGAATACATTATACAAATAGCATGTAACCTGGAGTTGAATGTCTTCTATCTCGTTTTGTTTTTGTTTTATTCTCTCCCGAGAAGTCACGTACATATCTCTAATGAACTTGTACATGTAGAACCCCGTCGGCACGTATTTGAGAATAAATATCATCTGTAGAAAAATGGGGTGAGAAAAAAGGTCTAAAGATATTTATAATGAAATTTACCAGAAATCAAAACGGACAGAGTAAACATACCACATTAATGAATGTGAGCCGCAAATAGATAGCATATCCAACACTGACACAGTAGTGAGCCATCGGCAGACCGTATTGTTCCATGGCGGAATTCCATAACTTGCTGATGCCCCATGCAGCTCCGTTTACCTCTTGTTTGTTGAGGAAATGACGGTCCTCTGTACTCATGATAAGGGTTCTCAAATGAAGAGCCGAGATCACCGCCGCCAATACTATAAGTAAAGTCAACATCTAAAAGTATGTATAATATTTCATACAAAATGCCTATTTATTACACATCGGGAGCATTAATAAATATGCGAAAAACGAAAAATTAATTTTGAAAATGTTTTTAAATCTTGACGTTGACATTTCTTTGTCATGCCATGGAATGGATTGGCATTTTATTCTTCCTTCGAATCTTGTAAACATCTTGACGAATATGAACAAAAAGATTTTACGTTGAGTGACGTTTGACAACGAAATGACAAACTTCTTTCTTTTAGATATTTTTGATAGATTGACTGTTGGTCGATATAATTTATTGATGTGCTGTATTTTTAAATTGTGCATCCTCAGGTGCTGGGCAAGGTGCCGACAGTGTCGATCGACAAAACGGATGGCTGCCAAATCTATCTGTCTCCGGAATCGTTGGATGTCGAGATCGTCAGCTCCAAGTCTTCGGAAATGAACGTGCTCGTACCCAAAGGCAACGGTGACTATGTAAGTACAGCAAAGTACCCTCTTCTTCTTTCTTCCCACTCACTTATTCTTGCTACCTAATGCATGCTAAACTGGACATAGAAAAGTTTCATAAATTATACACATTACAATGGTAGCGTGACCGGTCGCTATATTTAAAGTCATTGCAGTAAATGGTTTTGACTTGTTTACGACAGTGAATCTTCTATATTTATACCTGTGTTATTTCAGTTCTCCATAAGTGAATGCATATTTCATAAAAATGAAAGTAGTGTCTACTTTTTACTTGCTATGCCCAATAATAGACACCGAATAGGATATAATTATGTATTCATTCATTTAAGATATAATTATTACTGAATATTAATTATTTTAATGTTAATTATTTTTGTTCAGTCCGAGCACCCGGTCCCGGAGCAGTTCAAGACAGTGCTGAACAGCACAAAAAGCGGTATCACCACGACGCCCGTCGAGAGCACGGGCTAAACGCCACGCACTCACTCGAGAATCGAACCTCGTTCACTATCCAGCTCTCAGTGTCAACCGAGACGAGGCGAATCTTTATATAATTATCATAATACTTGCACGATCTAGTTCAACATTAGTTCACGTACCATGGTTCGCCTCGAAGCATCCACTCGAAGCACAAACTATCTTTTGTACCATCAGTCGATCGAGGAAGGTTCTCGAGTCTCGCGTGCCTCTATTTAGTCTTGTATCGATCATCTTATTTAAGAACTGTCTTCATTTCTTGCTCATTGCGCTCGATTGTAGTATTTAAATATTATAAATCTAATACGACGTAGAGATAACTATAACTCAAGTATTTACTGGCCTTTGTGTGTAATGTATGATGTTCCTTACACTAACGTTTGAGATTTGACAAGAAGGTAACATGCTAGGAGTACCGCTCGGTACAGGAGTTAGTTAAGTTAGCTGTAAGGTGTGTGACTGTCTCGAGCATCTCAAGTAAGAAAGGTTTGCATTCTCGACTTTCGCTGTTTCTATTAATATGTACGATGATTAAACCCCGAAGCTTGACACGCGTGAGGTCTAATTTTCTTACTTGTATTACTTCCTTGTGATCATTGCATTGTTTATGTCGATTTCTGTCTATGGGAGAACTCACCCAGATTATATTTTAATTTAGGACATGCTATATTATTTTGTGATTGTAATTATTATTTTTAATTCAATATTTCTTATTAAATCAGCGAATTTTGTATTAAAATAATTAATAATTTGTCGACATCGTTACTGTGTAAGATTTGATTATTATTTATTATATCACCCTTATTTTGAAGAATATAATAACTGTATTGAAAGTTTGCATTTTGTTAATTTATTTGTCGAGAGATTAAAATTATTTTTAAGAATTTTTTTTTATTGAATCCCTATAATGTGTTATAACCTGAAAAAAAAATTTAAGGATAAATAAAACAAGAAAAATATAGTTACATTTTTATTTTGTTCAGGTCATGGATCACGTCGTCCATTTAAAAAATCATTAATTCAAACGGAAAAGGCAATCCATTTTTCAATAAATAAGTAATTCAATTTAGCAATAATGGTGCAGTGGTAAACAGAACAATTTGGGCACAAACATTACATCTATATTTACAAAATTACAAACGAACCCAAATAACATTACATAATAATTATGGCGTAGCAATCGTCTAGCGCTATGTGAATTTATTGGAAAATTATTACAGCTATTGAAATATTGTCTCTGTCGTCGCAGAGATTCCATAACTTAGAGATATCTTACAAAATATCAGTCGAATTTCGAAGTTTTACTCTACTGTCTAAGTACTGGCTTACAAAGTAATTAAACCTGTATAAATGCTGTTAGTCGGGGTCTATGCTGGAGTTATTTGGTGAGACTCTACTGCACTGCCACTCGTCGCTGCCGTCGGAACATTCAAGAAACCCATTGCAGACGCTGGTGGCAGGTAAGCATTCCCCGAGTGGACATCTGAATCCCTTGCAGGTGTCCTTCCTACTGGCTCGTCTGTTCTTCGCTACCTCCAGATCAGCGTAGAAGTCTTCATTGGATTCGGTCTCGCCAGAGTCACTGGTTTCGTTGGTGGGTAGTGTGTGAGCCGCCAACACAGTGTCTATCCAGTCGATGTAGTGCGACACTTTCGTGTACACGCCGGGACGATTGGCCCGAGCGCAGCCGTACCCGTTACTTGTCACTCCATAAACATACCATTTGTCGGATTCCTGAAAATTAAAGTAAGTGAGATGAGTTTCTTTCCTTAATTGGGTTCAATTTCGAAGTATTCTTAGGTATTCGATTTTAAAATACATTCAAAAATATATTCATTCTATGACTACAAATTAAAAAACTTATGTACCTGACACATAAGTGGTCCTCCAGAATCTCCAAGACACGCATCACGACCGCCACGCTCGTAGCCCGCGCAGAACATGTCGTCGGTGACGCGATACAGCGGCAACAGGCGCGTGCGCCGTCGGCACTCCGCTGTCGATATCACTGGCAGCTCCACTTCTTGTAATGTATCCGCTAAAGATAAAATCATTTATTTGAAAAAAAACCATGGAATAAGATCTTTAATTATTATATTTGAAAACAGCTTGAAAGTTTATATAAACTGGTACAGTATGAGAAAACTTACGGAAAACACGTTCATGTTCGTATAGCTGTCCCCAGCCGACGACAGTGCAGTGATGTCCTGCTGGGGGCTGTGCCCGGGGTGGCGGCAAGCAGGCGGGGCGCAGACGAGCGTGTAACGACACTGGGTCCACTCGTAACAGTGCTATGTCATTGCGGAATCCACGGGGAGCATATTTAGGGTGCAAGACTACTTGACGCACGCGTGATACTTGCTCCCATGGACCTCGCGGCCACGCACCCCTCCGTAATGCACCTAGTCGGGCAACCCAGTGTGCTTCTGTGGCTCTATTTGGTAAAATAATAATCAGTTAAAATCATATAGTGAGTATATTTGAAGTAAATAAACAAATAGAAGAAAATTGTTGTTTCTTACTGGTAGAAGCAATGGCTGGCAGACAGTAGCCACTGCGCGTGCACGAGCGTCCCCCCGCACTGGAAGTCTCCGTCGCGGTAGAGCGCAGCCTGCCAGGGCCACGCGCCAGCGGCCGCGCCGTCGCCGCCCACCACCCTGCCGCGGCGCACGTGCGCGTCAGTATCATTCCTACCCACACACATCCCACTACTACCACTACTCAACCTGGATAGGCGTTTTGTGATGGAATGGTGGTGTCTAGTTAGGCTTATTTGATTTTTCTACAGTAGTTGACACCGATGTTTGGAAATCAATTAAGCCCGGATTTTATTATCCAATGTATATCAACATAACCTAATCATGATTACCTGGGCTGTTGAGCGTCAGCGTGTGGTCGTATCCCACAGTCGAGCCCAGTGCATCGGACTCTTAGAGCTCGCTTTTTGTTGCACGTTGCACGTCGGAAAGAGAGTCGAGTGTCATGTGCCCGCGCCGCCGCGTTGTGCCACACCTCCCAGTAGCCCGCAGTGCTGGTCTTGCGCCCCTCGCGGGCTTCACGTGCCCAGCCAGCGTCTCTGAACACGTACTTATTGTTAATATTTCCCTAGTGTTCGTTTGGTTGATAAATCTACCTAAATTGCTGCATAACAATAATTTTGAATCGTAAGTAGGTATTGATTTTTCTTCATTTTAGTTAAACATAACCTAAGTTTTAATTTGCTTTATTTTGCTAGATACCTTCAACGATTTTATTAAATTATAGTTATTAAATATATTAACATAAAGAAACATAATAGTAAAGAGAATAAAAGGAAATTCCTTTGTTCTTTTTGCTTGACACTCAACTAAGAATCGTCCAGCCGTGTGGGACGAACAGTCCTTTACGACCACGCGCACAACCCACATTTATTCGGATAGTTTTCCAATTTACTTGTATTCCCCAAGGCAAGACATTACTCAATTCTAGTCAAAATTAAGACTTTTTTGACTAGGATTGAGAAAAAACATTTTCATATAAATAATTTATTACTGGAAGGTCATTGCTCTGCATACAGCTCTGCCTAAATCCGGCAATTTCAAGGAGCTGTGCGCCTGCTCCACTACGTCTGCAAAGCTTTCCACACACAGCCGACCCCAAACACCTCGTTTGCGCACCATCACGTAACCTGAAAAAATTAGAATTACGAAAATCAGAACCAGTCCTTATTGATACTAGAAATCGAGATTACTTTTTACAAGAAAGTACAATGACCTTCTTCATTGTATGGAACCACTTCATTATTCTCCAGTTGTTCTGCTAGCGCCACGCAGCTTTTCTCGTCGTCACCGAGCGGACAATCAGGTGTACCATCACACACTTTGCCCATGTCCAAGCATTGGCGCGCATTGGCACAAACGTACTGACCTTCCTTACACCACTCTGAAAGTAAAGTAACAAGTTCATAATTACCATCTACAAATACACAACACTGAAAATTCTCATTAATTATTACCTAAAGTTTCCAAAGTAACTTATGGATGAACTTACTTTGTGCCTAATTATAACTTGTTTGGGTATATTAAGTATTCAAGAGTTTTGACTTTCCAACTCCAAGTAAGGTACCACTTAATACCTAGTGGGTAACGATTTGTACTTTAGTCTACCTACTTTATAGATACATATTATCTACTGGAAGTCCTATTAATATAATTTATTAATTACTTTTTGATCTAAAGTTACTTACCACATTTATTCTCATCAGAGTAGTCCCAACAGTCTACGACACCATCACATATCTTGGATTGTGAGAAATCTGCTCGCAGGTAATCTGCGCAAGAGCACGAACGTTCATCTTCGCCACCCGGACAGTCAAGTAAACGGTTGCATCGGGATGTCAGTGGCAAACACAAACCATTTGGGCATCGGAACGATGTAGCATTGTTACATTCTACTGAAATTAATAGATTTGTTATGATTTAATTGTTACTACATTTTTATTACCGTTACCATATTATCCACGACTTACCTTCTTTGATAATTTCTTTTATAAAGTTGCTCACGTCTTTCTCTTTGTTCGGTTTGGGCACATGAGGCTTATTGTAGGTCTTTTCTGGAATATCAAAAGTGTTCCCTTCTTGCTTCGATGGCTGGTTCTTGTTATTGTATGTTTTTGTAAGAATTTTAAATCCCGCCTGGTTCAATGTGTAACTGGATGGGATTGCTTTTGTTGAGATCACGCCGCCTGGCGCTCGAAACAAGGTGTTATTATTAGAATCTGATATCGTGGCGAGACTCGCAAGTTGTTTTAATTTGTCAATCGTCAAAGTATTTGTTTGATTTATTGGTATTTCTAAAACAACGTCTGGCTCTAAAGCTAGTTCGTAGGCAGGAAGAGTCTGAGTTTTATTTGCTCGTTTACTGCTCACACTACCGGTGACATGGTAAGATACTCTATAAGTTCCTTCAGGGACGTTAGTGGTATTTGACACTTCAGTATCCTCAAATGCCTCATTATTTTCATTTGAAAAATTTAAGTCATCGCTTGATTTTGGAAATCTACTGCTTGATTGGAGTACACCTGGTGCAGCAGCTTGTATGATTTCAGGAACCGTTGGAAATTTTTGTTGTTCTTGTTGTTGAGAATCTGAGACAATAGCCGCACTCTCAGTAGCGTCTTGATTTAATTCATGACTTTGGTAATATTTTTCAGTACTAAGGTTATCAATTATTTTTTGTGTTTCGGGGTCGTTGCGAAAAAAACTGCGTAAGTTTTCCTTCATCGGTTGGGATTCGACTTTTATCTTAGGCCGAGGTCTTAGTGGACGATTCATACCTAAATTTGACTTTGCAGGTAACAGAGTTATTACTCCTGCTGTCGTTATTTCTAGTTCATCATCTAGAACTACCTCTACCGATCCTTTATTGAGATTATGCCGTTCTTCAACTTCCATGTCATTAATACTGTCTTCAGGTTCGGGCGTTGATGGTGCACTTTGGGAATATTTTTTAATTATGTCTGTTAAGTTACGAAATAATGATACTTTTCCCGGAAACTTCGGGGTTGTGTTCGGAAAGACATCATCATTTTTTGTAATAATTGCCTGTAATGTATCGTTGTAATATTTTTCCGGAGAATTTTTGCTAAAACTATCATTATCATTGGTTGAAGTGTTCACTAATTCCCAAGTGAGATGTGGGGCGCCTGTGCTGGGTATAATAGATACTTTGTTATTTGGTCGCCGTGTTGAATTTTCTTTCATAGCATTATTCTGTGCCTGTTCTGTTGATTTATAAGTTGTATTTACAATGTCTAGTTCAGGAGTTGTAGATAAAGTGCTGCTTGTTGGCACTTTAGTACTGGTCGTTGTTGGGGTGCTGTCACTGGTTGTACTCGTGGTAGTGGTCGTTGGTTTGCTCGGAGCGCTAGTAGTAGTAGTACTACTACTACTACTGCTAGTACTAGTTGTTGTGGATGTTATTGTACTACTTGTAGACGTTGTTGTATTGTGTTTCTTCAGTATTGATGCACCATCGATCGAAAATTGTTCAGTGTCGTTATCTGCGCTATCGGCTTGAAGAACATTAATAACAACACTTGTTTGTTTCTCTTTAGGTGGACGTTCTACAGGCTTCCCATCGTCTTCATCACTGAAATCAATGTCGTCCACAGCTTCAACCACACCACTAATTTTATCTACAGGAATAGGATGGGGTTTTGGATAATTAGATCCTAATGTTTCCATATTCTTTAGGGGAGGTGCGTATGTTGGTAGTGTAAAACTTGTGTATACTGGGCTAGGAACATAAACTTCAGCGGCCAAATCTGGATCTATATTGTGTAAACCAATAGGTCTTAATGTCGTTCTGTCCCTGTGTTTTACTGGTGGTATCGGAGTCAACATACTTTCTAATATTGAAACATCGTCTACTACTTCTGCGACTCCCATTCTGTCTTCAGCATTTAAATCACTTGTAATTTCTGTGGGAACCGACGGTTTGCTTGTTCTTTCATAGTAGGGTTGCGTTATGGGACGCCAAGGCTCATTGTCAATAACATGTGGAACAGTAAATAATGTATCAATTTTGGGCAAATCTTTGTAATGATTTTCATTGGTTAGTAAATCGAGTAGAATTTGAGATACGTTACTGGCGGTGGAACTAGTTTGAACTGTAGTCGAAGTTATACTTGTCGTTGAAGTGGAAGTTGTAGAGGACATAATAGGAGGTCGTGTGGTCTTTTCAATGCCCTTTTTAGGTGTAGGTTCGGTCCTTGTCTTAACATTGAGAGTAGATGTTATTGTGAACGGCCGGGTCTTTGGTGTACTTGTAGGAACTCTCTTCGTCGTTGTAGGCCTTGAAGTTGTTCTAGTAGAAGGTGCTTTAGTTGTGGTAGTCGTTTTAGCAGCTACTTGTTTGTGACTTCCTTTATCATCATGACGCGTTGGACTAGAACTCATCTTTTTATTTTCTGTTATATCTGCCTCAGTCTTAGTGATTTGAAATGAGCCTTGTACTACTGGAATATTTTCAGTGTCAATGTCAGGTTCATCAGGATCTTTCTTTTGATTCGGTTTTACTGTAGTCTTACGTACGACACCAACCCTCGTCTGAAGGGTTTTATCAATTCCTGTTGGCGGTAGTGAACCTTTTGGATTACTCATAGCCATACTCTCATTCATAGCTTCTTTCACATAAGATTCTGAATGATATGTATGTTCCAGATCTCTTTTAATCACTATACTTGATGTATCTACTTTTATACTCTGTCCAATCGCAGGATGTTTAGAATTTAAATCTTGAATTAAAATGTTCTTAAGAGTTTCCTCGATGTTCGAAACAGAACTAAAAACAAATAAATAAAAGGAATTTTATGTGTGATTAAAAAATAAAATGCATTGGGAAAAGATGGGTTTGACTTGTTGCTTGGCCAGTTACCTTGGTATTTTTCTTCTATCAAGATACAATCTGAAGTGTACGTCTAGTCTTCGGTCCCCGAATCCGGTGACTATAGCGCCCGTGAAAGCTTGTCGTAGCACCGAAGGTGCGGCGTACACTTGGCGGAGTGCTACACTGTAGCGTCGCGCCCGCTCTCTGTACGACGGACTGCCTGGCACACCACCATAGACGTCTCCTCTGGTCACACGAAATGTGCCCTCGAACGATATTATTGCTGAAAAACAAATCATATGCTATGATACTACAGTTGCATAGGTATTCCTAAAGAAGTCATAACTAAAAACATTTTATAAACAGCAAACTAAAATTTGACACAGGGTTGACACAAGTTGGCGAGTTTCCCACGCATTTTTCCCTAAAAGGTCAAACAGAAGTGAGTAGCGGCTGCAAATAATACCCTGTGTAATACTACACAATAATAAGAACATAGTAACCCACTTCTCTTGGACGCCTCCCACAATTTACATGTAAGGTTTTCCATTTTTCATTTCCACTCGAATGAACATGTTCCTTGTACATTCCACTACTTGGAGTAAATGCGGCCAATGTTTATCGAGCATAAATAAGTAGACTGTTGACTTTTTAATATTATTGATGTTTTAAGAGTTATCAATGAAGATGGAGTACCTATATAAAAATCCGAGATAGGTCGAGAATGTCTTTTGAGGCGCGAATAAATCTTACAATTCCCTCCTTGAGTGATGGATGTGAAATTAAACAAAAAAATAAGGCATGTTCTTATCTCTGCATGTAAAAGAGTAGTATCATTAAGCAGAATATTTTTATACATATTGATATCATACTTAAGCTATATTTTGATTTATTCGACTCATCTTAAGTTAAAGGAAATACGTACGTTCTCCATTATCTGGCCTTAGGGCGCCCATGTAGAAGGCGAGAGCAGCGACTGCCAGTACAGCGACGGCAGCCAGCAAGGCGCCGCCGACCAGCGCAGCCGAGCACAGCCCACCGCTGCGGGTGCTGCTGCTACCTACACCAGCCCGAGGATAGCCTCCACCCGCGAATCGATATTCGCTCTGTAGACAAATAAATAACATTAGCATTATTATGTTGGGCTCATCCAAAATAAACACGTATTGTGTTTAAAGAAGAAATTTGTATTGTACTATAAGTGGTCGTAGCAAAAAATATATAATACATACAAATACATAGGTTGCTAAGGTATATTCAAAGGTGTTGCTGTGAATATTCAATGACATTTTATCCTACGGTGTCATGTATTCGCACGAATACCACACGGATTTAAGAAAAATTTCAACTGTCCCTCTTCATTGTAACTGGTAAGCACCAGAATATAATTTTTTCACGGATATCTGAACGCTTTAGTCGGGAACCGTGTATCAGAGACATCTTATATAAATCTTTCTTGTACCATAAATACTTAAGTAATGGTTTTCAATAAAAACGTTATCTAGAGTAATAAAAACAATTTGTGTTTTTGTGCAACTTTGTTTATGAAATTTATAATTATTATATTCAACATAAACTGAAATGTGGCAAAATTACCCTATAAAGAAGTGGTGGTGCGGCAATGTTTGTAAGTACGTAGTAACTCTCAATTACGTCAGCGTTACCATCGTAAAAGGAACAAATGCGATGTTCATCGGTCTCTTCGATGCCTCTATGCTATTTTCATTCTTTACGCCCCTTTGTACGATAACAAGCTGGTTTGAAGAAAAACATGGATAATACTTTTTCCTTGTAACAATTTGCGTTGTAATCACTTATGGTAATCATGGCTGTAAGTATATAGGCGGGGGCCATCCGACCTCCCGAACTGTTTTTATACCAACCAAGGCGTGATACATTTTTTAACGTTGACAGCTCATTTCTTGTAGAGACCCTCAAGGTTCGTAATTATTTATGCTAGTTGAATAAAAAACTGATCTATTCAATAACTTATGTCGTTATAATATTTAGAAACAAAGACTTTAATACACTTTGACGTTTTTGATAAATTGATGATTTATTATCCTCAACATCCTCAACAGGTATGTGTGACACAAAAGGCTTTTGTACATGGGTAGTGTTTGGTAAAATTTTGAGGGAAGTAATTTTTGTCGTTGCGAATTCGCAATCATTACAGTGCTGATGAACGATGGGAACGTGGACAGTGTATGGGAACCGCCTGCGGTGGGCCATCCATCTGCACCCCGCCTCTTGCTTCACCTGTCACTTCGCACCGTTAATCATCCTTCTACAAAACCACGTCCAAACGCTTGGGAATGCTGTATCGTTGGATGAAACAAATTTTCGGACACCCGAATTAACTTTAATACGCTGTTTCACGTGCACTACCATCAGTGCATTTAATGCAAAAAGTTGTTGCACATTTCAAAAAGTGCGCACACCGTAAGGTCCCACCGAGATTTGAACTCGGATCGTTGGATTCAAAGTCCAAAGTGCTAACCATTACACCATGGGACCGCGACGCAGGGATTACGAAATTTACGATCCAGTTATTTGGTATGTTGCGTCGTTTGGCAAAATCTCAGTTCAGTTTGGCCTGCTAAATAATGTAGTCATCATATGTACGAATAATGTCTTATGTATATCATAAATAATTACACAGCAATGGTTAAGTAGCAGTGGCGTGCACAGGGTTTTAGAACAGGGTAGGCAACATAATATTGTATTATGATTAAACTCATCGTAAATACATAACATAATTCAACTTATGAGGTTTTTAATCTTTCGTCAATTCTTAGTAACAGTGCCATCTCTCGTTGTTTTCGTGAAGTATTACATCAACTTATTGATTACTCTAACAACTTAAAAACATTAATATTCTATTTTTCTCTTTAGATTTGTAAAACTAATCTGCATAATTACCTACTCGAGGTGCTGTATAACGATTAATCTAATTTATGTTATCAATTCAGTAGCAGTAACGAATTGTTCATTCTAAAAATTGTACTGAACTGGCGGCCTGTCCAGCCTTCTCACGTTTAATACAAGAATATTACGAATTCTTTACTCTTTTAATTTAATTCTTCGAATTAATAAGTTTGGTTCATCTATTCAAGAGATATTATGATTTTAAGAACTTGGGTATGACTAATAGAAAAATCGAACCGAGCGCGGCCGGCTGCGGCCGAGCCGAGTAAGCGGTAGTACATTTTTTAGTATTATTAAACATTCATTTACCTAGCTTATTCTTCTTCATTTCATTTTATAATTAGTACATAACATATTACTTAAAGCTTCGTTATTTTTACTGACTGAGTTGCCGCGACGGGAAGCTCCGCGTAGGTACCTACTTATGTTACATAACCTAATCACATTAAAATAAAGTAACTTTCATAGAACTTACCAAGACAAGACTATCAGAAGAAAAACTCACACACAATCTAATCACTAAGCGATGGTCTGCGATAGTTTATAATTCTTTACCAACTTTTGTCAATACAAACTTCACAGTTCTTCGTATAACTTTGCAAAATCAATTAACAAATAAACAAACACAGTAATAAAATGTACTTATATAAATAGACAATTTTATACCGTTTACTACAAATTATTTGCGTAGAATTACTAATCGTATTCTAAATCAAATAACAAAATTATCCGAAAATCCACGCATCGCACGTAAACAAAAACAAAAAAATTGTCACGCGCGAGCGGCGTGAAGTTCGCTGCGAGGCGACCAATGAGTAAACCAAGACACGGAACGTGATTGGTCGGCTCGCGGCGAACTTCAAGGCGAACTCAATCACGAGTCGTCAGGCCGTGCCTGCAGGCAAGCTTCGCGACGATAAAATAAACGCGTCTGTGCACTACGCACACAATGACGTTCACCACTACACGCTTAAATTTATGAATGGTTTGCAGGCGACGGAACCGCGTGCCTGCCTCGCGCGTTAATGTTTACAGCTATATACGGTACGCCTGGCGAAATGCAACACGTATCGCGCGCCATCATTGTTGCTATACTATTTATTTTAGGCGTTCACTAATTTTATTATAATTATTATTTTAGTATTCTGTAGTAAAATTAAAATGTTTATATCTTTTATTACGTAGTGTTATTCACGGTATTTGTAAGGTAGGCAAAGCCTTTTTGCCTATATGGACTGCACGCCACTGTTAAGTAGTATGTACCGCATAATTTTCAAGAGCCGGACAAGAATTACAATGAGCCAAAAATGTTGTCGGTCTTTGAATCTGATAATTATACAGTGGAAGCCACGGTGATTATAAAACGTTTGATATATTAAAAAAATTAAGAATGATGAGAGTTTTCGACGAAAAGGATTTTGCGGTGGATGTTTTACATACTTTTAATAAAAGAAAAAAACTTGTACCTTAGTTAAATTCTTGGAAAACAAGAATGGATTCCAAAGTTACCAAAATTTTCCTTTAAACAACTATGCTACCTGAAAATATTTTATTTGAATGTTAATTTCAGGGCTTTGCCTGTAGATGTTTCATTTAGCAGTAAGCCGACATCCGCCATATTGCAAATCATGGTTCGTCTTAAACGAAGGTAATGAGATCTTTGAACCTTACCAAACAGCATTATTACGTCTCTCAGTAAACTACTCGTCAGTAATTAAATATACTTTTTGGTACATTGATTAACTTACAGTTAGTTATTTTAAGTGGAAAGCGATTTCGTTTGATGTTTTTTGCGGTATGGTGTGTCCGAGAAATTGCTTGTCGGTTTTCATTGTTTTTTGTTTTTACTTTCTTTATTGATACCCATAAATACTTCTGTAGCATTTTAATTAACAAAATAGCTTCGTAATTATTTCAAGGAGTGTTGCAATAATTGTTCGATTTGGCAAATAGGTTGAAAAATCTTCTCAAAATTCATGAAACATCATCAAAAAATGTAGAGCAGATAAAATAAATTTAGGTCCCACCGAGATTTGAACTCGGATCGCTGGATTCAGAGTCCAGAGTGCTAACCATTACACCATGGGACCTCGGTGAAAGCTTGCCAAAATAGAGGATCTCTATCAGAAATGCATTGGTAATAATAGCTCTTTACCTTTTTATTTTCGACGTTTCGTGCATTCAGTGCTTTTGATAAAATAAGTACAACATATTATGTGTTAAGAAAACTAAAAAGAAAATTTAGGTTTGAATAAATCGAAGGGCTTCATCCTACATAGGTACCAACCACCTATATTAGCAATTTATCTACTTATATAAAGGTTATATTTTAATCAATAATTCAATGTACTTGAAAACAATTTCAATACACACAATTTCATACAGCGGTTACTAATTCAAAATGATGAATGGCGTACAACAAAGCCGGTGGTAATAAACTCTAACAAATGCAAATGAGTGCAAACTATTGTGCATTGAATGCACGTCATGATGACACGCTGACCGTGGTCTCAATCTCCTAATGCGGCCCTAATGACAATGATGCGCCGACTGAATCATTTAGAACATGGTAATAAAGTATTATCATTGTTAAGAATATAATACAATAAACGTGTTTTTAAAGATTATCCTAAGTGCTATAAACAACGAAATTGATATGGAAGGTAAAGAACTTTGTCTTGTGCGAGTTGCACATCAACTTGGCTGTTATCCAATTTTTACTGTGTCATACCTACAAAATAATGTTATCTGATAGATAGGTATGTTTTATATTTAACATCTTATTATTTAATCATATTAAGTTCGAATATTATCATATAATTTTATGTTTGTATAAGTTCATAACAGAACTGTAAAAATAATAGAACTACGCTTCAAAGGAGTTATTAATGCTTAATTAATATTGCCCGCGGTGAAAAGGTTATTAACTATTCATTACACCTCCATATAAATTACAGCTAGGGACTAATTAGATATGTAAGGGAATATTCTTTCTTGATTATAATACGGTTCATCTCATTATATGGAACCTTTTTACTTTTTTGGAAGGGATAATAAAATGTCTATGTATTCATTACATTTGTGTAGTCTCCTATTCAGTACAAGAATCTACACACGACAATTTATTGATCGTTTTCATCCCCCAGTGCAATCGTGCTCTTTCGGCAGCTCCTTACAT